GCACCAACGCGCTGCTCGGCCTGTACATGAAGAGCCACCCGGTGAGCAAGTACACGGTGGCGCAGCTCAACAACTACCCGACGGGCGTCGCGGCGGTCGGCATCGCGTCGACGCTCTTCTGGGCGACGCTGACGGACTTTTTCGGCGGCAAGCGCTACCTCGTCGCCTACTTCATCGGCGTCACGGGCGTGGCGACCTCGGCCATGGTCCTCGCGGCGGCGCGGGACCCGACGAGCGCGGCGTCCACGTCGGTCGTGTTCGGCGCCTACTACTGGGCCGGCGCCGTGTACGCGTGCCAGGCCACCTTCTTCGCCTGGTGCAACGACGCGATGAGGTACGAGGAGCCCGTCTTCCGCGGCGTCGTGCTGGCCGGCATGAACCTGGGCAGCAACGTCGTCAACAGCTGGTGGAGCATCATCTTCTACGGCGCCTCCATGGCCCCGTGGTTTACCGTAAGTCGTCCCCCCGGCCCTCAACGAGATTGCGTGGCATGGGACCTTTACTTACCTTTTGTGTGCAGAGGGGCATGTGGGCCATGATCGCCACCTCCATCGCCTTGGTCATCTGGACCATTGGGCTCACCTACATGGCGCGCCGAGAGGAAAAGCGGAGAGTGTTGACCGCGGAGGTGGGCGAGTCGGGGTCGATCACCAAGAACATCGATGCAAAGGACGACAACGATGCTGTTTGATGGCTGCGGCTAGGGATGTAGGATTAATAGAGGCCTACCTAGGTCGAATGAGCCATTCGGAACTCATTATTTGTAAAGAGCCAAAGCTCAACGGACCGTGTCCCGAATGGGACTGCACTGGTGTAACCCAAAGATCCAGCGAAACATGATAGCTGGACTACTGCTGAGTCGAAGTAGGCTGGTAAAGCACCTCTAAGTCTCATTAATGGAAGGAACAGCTCATCAGAGTACATCTTCATCACATAACGCTTAACCCAATGGAAAAAAGTAGTATGTTGAGGAATGGCACGGTGGGAAACAAACCCCTGAGTTGGTCAAGATTCAGTTCTGCGAGATTGCGCACTTGCACGGCGGGGTTTGATGGAGGGAGAAGAGGGTATCTCGAACCCAAGATGGAGTAGCAAAGGCGGAATAAGGCCCGCACTTAGTAGGAAAGATGCGCGGACCCCCTCACCACATCCAACTGTCCTCGAACCGGTGAGTCTCCGTGTCGGACGAGGCCGACATGAGCCTTGATGCAGAGGCTTGAGCACCGAGGCCGGTAGCGTTTGCTCCGCTCCGCAGCTTTGCGGATGCCGGAACCGGCACGGAAAGGACGGAGACGACCCACTGGGCCCGGATAGACTAGCCAAAGCCTCGGAGGGCGAGCTACACTTTTCCAACTTGTCCAAGGCAGCTTGAATGCGTCCATATGATTGCAGTCTTTCCCAATGCCAGAATTAGTGGTTAGAGCCAGGACATGAATCCGGCGTACATGAAACGGTTGCCCCTCAACTAGGCAGTGTTTAAGTGTGAATGCAAGGGTGACGCTACCAAAAAGACTGCTTTTTAACGTTTTCTCTCATTCAGAGACTCTCCGCACAAAAGATTGATGGTTAGCCGAGAGCTGTTAACAACTGCGGGAGGATAACAGACAACCGCCAGGGCGACGTTTAACTTTCATCTGAATAGCTGCCAGCGAGGTTAATCCTGCAGTTGTAAACTTACCTGCAAAGGTTAACCCAAGTTGCACAAAGTCCCCTTCCGTCCACCAGGTAATCATTGACCCTGGTGTTGCAATAATCGCACCATATCCCGTTGCAGACCCCGGCGACTAGACCGACAGGGCGCCGAGTGACCCGGCACCTATGTTCGGAGGGTATTCAGGGTATGGCTATGCGCTCCGCCGAAACGTTGCGACAGGTTAGACGGTATTCTATCAAAATGCGATGCTTCGTCTGGTTCTCTTTTCTCTTTTTCCTTGCTGCCACTCCCCTCAAGCTTTTGCCTTTGGTAGATAGAGATCACTCGGCATTGTGCATCTTATTACAACATTAGACAGTAAACCCGCACTCATTCGTCCGTTCTGATACAACTCGCTCCGATGGCTCCTGTACCATCAGACTACAGTGAGCGTCCGGTCGCAGTTCTCGGGGGCGGGGTCCTAGGTCGCCGCATCGGTGAGCAACAATCTCTGAAATCCGCCTCGACGCGACGGCAGCTGACACAGAACGATAGCTTGCACATGGGCCTCCGGCGGCTACAACGTTCGGGTCCGGGAACCCGACGTCAAGCAGCATCAGCCCTGCCTAGATTACGTCAAGCAGAACATCGACAGCTATCCAGCATCCGGCAGCAAGAGCCCGGGCACGGTCCAGATCTTCGAGGACCTCTCGCCGGCCGTCGAAAACGCCTGGCTCGTCATCGAGGCCGTCCCCGAGAGGATCCAGATCAAGATCGACGTCTTTGCCGAGCTCGAGGCCGCGGCCCCCGCGGACGCTATCCTCGCCAGCAACTCGTCCTCCTACCGATCCTCCGAGATGCTCGCCAAGGTCGGGGACGCGACCAAGACGAGAATCATGAACACGCACTACTACACGCCGCCGACCAACATGGTCGTCGAGCTCATGACGGACGGGCACACGAACCCGGACTACTTCCCCTTCATGTCGGAGAGGCAGAGGGAAGTCGGCACGAGACCGTTCATCGCGCGCAAGGAGTCGACAGGCTTCATCTTCAACCGTCTCTGGGCCGCGATCAAGAGGGAGACGCTGTCGATCCTGGCCGAGGGCGTGTCGAGCCCCGAGGAGATTGATACTCTGTTCTGCGAGCTATACAAGTATGGCGTGGGGCCTTGCAAGCTGATGGATCGTAAGCCTTCCTGTCATACCCTTTTATCGAGTAGGGTGGTGCTGATGCCGCAATAGTGGTCGGTCTCGACACAGTCGCCTTTATCGAGGATCACTACGTCCGTGAACGTGGGCTATCCCCAGAGAACACGGTCGACTTCCTGCGACGCGAGTACATCTCCAAGGGCAAGCTCGGCAACAAGTCAGCCAAGGGCGGCCTGTACCCGCGTCTCCCCAAGCTCCTTGCCCTCGACCTCGCGCTTGCGAATCCCGACGAACGGACCGCGTCCGGGAAGATACTCCAGCTCTCGTCGGAAGGCGACGTGGAACGCGTGCTCGTGGACCGACAGGACGTCCCCGGCGGCATCGACATCGACACGAAGAGCCGACGCATGTTCTGGACTTGCATGGGAACGCCCGGCGAGCCGAACGGCGCCGTCCTCTCGGCGAACTTGGACGGCGGCGATGTGCGGTCTCTCTTCGCCCCCGGGGCCGTCAACACGCCAAAGCAGCTCGTCGTCGAGCCCACGTCGGGGAAGATCTACTTCTGCGACCGCGAGGGCATGCGGGTCTGCCGCGCCGACCTGGACGGCAGCGGCCTGGAAACCCTGGTCGCCGCCGGCCGCGACGCTTCGGACCCCGCGTCTCGGTGCGTCGGCGTCTCGGTGGCGCCGACACTGGGCAAGTTCTACTGGACGCAGAAGGGCGCGCGCGAGTCGAACCAGGGGCGCATCTTCTGCGCCGACATTGAGATGCCCGCGGGCGCGACCCCCGAGGCGAGGGGAGACGTCGCCTGCCTCCTGGAAGACCTGCCCGAGCCCATAGGCCTAGAGGTCGACGAGGAGACCGGCGCCATCTTCTGGGCGGCCCGCGGCGAGACCCCCGGTGTCAACACCCTCAACCGGGCCGGCATCGACCCGAAGACGGGGCTGCTGAGGGCTGAGGGGGCGGACAAATACGAGGTCCTGGCGAGGGATCTCAAGGAGGCGGCCGGCGTCACTCTGGACCGGGAGAACGGCCACGTCTACTTCAGCGACAACGAAGGCAGCATCTACCGCTGCAACGTGGACGGAACGGACAAAAAGAGGGTTTTCTCAGATGATAAACGGACTATTACCGGCATTTCGGTTCTGCGTATCTAGATATGATCTTGGAAGAAGGGAGACTAAGGAGGCGGCTTATTGGTTTGAGGCGGTCGGCAGGGCGTGACGTATAGGTTATAGATATTGTCACGAGTTAGAGCACACAGCAGGGCATATGAGGATTCAGGTCTAAAAGGCTTATTTCTATGTAAGTGTAAGTAACGAAAGTGAGGTCCTATATATAGGGAAGTGAGTGTGAAACACCACGTGCCACAGCACCTGACAGGGCTATTACAGAAGGTGGAAATGCATGAGGCTATCGTGACAGATATCTCGTATAGATTAGACACGATGATTTATGATTCTTGTTGGACTCACAATCAACTGCCTTGGTGTCTCTTGCCCGTCATGCGCCTATGCCTTTCTTTGAGCTGACTTTCTACATAATCTCTAATGGGTTCCCTCTCTGCGCGCCCTCTTCTTGTTCGCCAGCCTGGCTGCTTGCTGACCACCACCTATCAGGCTGCACAAAGATGCAAGGGTTATGGTACAAGTAGAAATAGCCTGTTGTATTTACTACATACAGCGTGCATTCTGTAGTCGGCCTTCTCAGTAAAACCTTGATAGCAACGCGCCGAGAAGTCCGGATACATAAGTAAAGCTCATAGGTTTTATACCACTCCGGCGTCTTCCATCCCATCGCCAACGTCAACGTCATTTTCGTCTCCCATATTTCTAAAAGCAGATGGAGTCCACCGCACAAAACGCTCTGCATTACCAGACTGACCTCTCGTCCATGGGATGGTTCCACTTGCTTATACTGGAACCTCCAGCCGAACGTCGAGAACCTTTGGTCTGCCGTCTCGTGACCCAAAAGATGGGCCAATCTTTGGCATACGAAGCTTTGTCGTACGCCTGGGGCGACTCGAAGATCTACGAGTCTATTATGATGGACGGGCGGCCTTTTCTCATTCGAAAGAGCCTCCACCAGCTACTTGCGGCGCTGAGAAGCGTCTCCTCTGAGCGCAAGGTCCTGTGGGTGGACGCGATCTGCATCGACCAGGGCAGCGTCGCCGAGCGGAACCTCCAGGTCCGGCAGATGAACTGCATCTACGCTGGCGCCGCGCTCGTAGACGTGTGGTTGGGCGAGCCCGCACCGGAAGGCTCCGGCCGCGGAATCGACCTCCTGCGCACCTTTGAGAAGGCCTCCCCGGATGGATTGGGGCCCCCCGGGGGAAGAGAGCATGACTGTTGAAGGGTTCAGACGCCTGCACAGCCGCTTCTTGGCGGCACTCGGAGACGACGTGTCAACATCGGGCCTCGGAGACGCCCTGAATCTCCTCCAGAGGCCGTGGTGGACGAGGATGTGGACGTTGCAGGAAAGCGTCCTGTGCCGCAACGTAGGGTGCTGGTGCGGCCAGGATCCACTGCCGATTTGCTGTTTCTGGGAGTTTGCGTGTTTCATCTACGGCTCCATGGACTTCGGCATCTGGAACGGGCCGGCCATCGACGCTTTCCCGGTTGCCGTCGTGGGTTCCTGATCTCCAAGGACACTCGGAAGCCGGGAGCGACAGTTTTGATTCGTTGTCGAAACCCGTTTGGACCAGAACGAGAAAATGTTTCGACGCATCGTCATCGTCGACGTCGACGACGACGACGGCCGATCACCCGCAGTTTGAAACCCAAGCCGACGACTCGATACTCGTCGTGCAAGGGATAGCGTTCGACAGAGTCAAAGCCATCGGTGACAAGAGCCCGGGTTGGGGCTCGTGCCTTTCCACTGGCGAGGCCCACGGGCCGTGGAAAGAAGCGATGCGGGCATGTTTACGCCGCTGGCGGAGCACGATCACCCAGGGAGACGGAGGCTATCTGACCGGCGAGTCTCGGGTGAGGGCTTTCTGGAGGACGGTGTTTGTCGACCTCAAGCAAGGGAGCGCTGACGGGTGCCGACGCCTCGGACCTTCTGACTTGCTGTCGCTGCCGAGGTTCGAAACCGACCAGGGCTTAGCAGACTTGTTGAAGGCGTGGGAAGACCCGAGGCGGCCCAGCTTACGACAATTACGACTCATTGAACGGTTGAACCGAAGGTTTTTCATCACCGACAAGGGATACTTCGGGCTGGGGCACTTTTCTTTGGAACTCAGAGACGCAGTGTGTATCATATGTGGAGGGGTTGTGGTTTACGGCCTCCGGGAAATGCCCAAGGAGCGCTGGCGCTACGTGGGAGAACGGTGAGTCGAGAGGACGGGTTGAAATGCTGGCAGAAGCAAGCGATGCAGCTTTCTTACCCTTGCCAACTCTCCTGTATTCCATTCGCGTACCGATGCTGACGAGTCTTGCAATTATGTTGATGGTGTCATGGATGGAGAGATTATAAGAGCCGCTGCGTTCGATAGAACACCCTGTCAGACGTTCGAGATAGAGTAACAGAGTGCTTCTCGTAGGAAGACTGCTCAAGGCTACGTCGAACACCTTGTTTATTGTGGAAGTTTATACAGCGTAGAGAAGCAAGCATCTAACAGACATCACGCCACTTCTGCATGTGGATGTGCGATGCTTTAAGAACAACGCCTCTGCACTGGGCGCACGTCCCGGTCGATTGTGTCTATCATACATGGCTTTCATTACAAGCAGGCCAGCACAGCTGACCACGAGCACGCCACACGCCGTCGCTTCATTTCACGGCATAGCTGACCTTGGAGTTCCCCTTGCTCCTCGAAATCTTCTTGACCACCGTCTCCCCGCACAGGTCGGTGGAGTCGACGTGGGTGCCGCCGCAGGGGTACACCTCGGCGCCGACGATCTCGACGACGCGGAACTTCTCGCCGGGCGGCGCGGGCCCGCGGGCGGCGGGGACGAGGCGCCCGAGCCCGCGGCGGTGGAAGTCGTCCTCGTCCCAGAAGGCGACGCGGACGGGCATGGCGGCGGCGACGTAGGCGTCGACGCGGGCCTGGATGGGCGCCCTCCAGCGGCCGTCGATGGAGCCGGCGAACTCGCACGAGGCGGCGCCGGGGAAGTGCGAGGCCTTGAGCTCGTCGAAGCCCTCGACCTCGGCCTCGAGCAGGTGCCGCACGGCGGCGCCGAGGACGTGGCCGGCCGTGTGCAGCCGCGAGTGGAGCAGCCGCTTGTCGGCGTCGATGGCCTGCTCGACCTCGTCGCCGGCCCGGAAGGGCGCGGCGCCGCCGTCGCGGAAGCGGCCAAAGTGCAGCACCCGGCCGTCGCGGACGGCGTCCATGCGGGCCGAGGCGACGGCGAAGGACGCGCCGGCGGGCGTCGACATGGCGCCGACGTCCGAGGGCTGGCCGCCGCCCTGGGGGTGGAAGATGGTCTGCTCCGTGACGACGACGTGGTCCTCGTCGCAGCCGTCCTTGTAGAGCTGGCGGTTGGCCTCCTCGAGCTCGGCGAAGGGGCGGACGGCGGTGACGACGGTCTTGAGCGTGTGCAGCTTGGCGTTGTGCTGGAAGGCGAGATATGTCCGGGCCGCTGCTGACGCCATCTTGCGCAACGAGTGATGCGAGGTTTCTCTGGCCCTTGGAATCGCCTCCGTCGTCAGACTCGAGGTAAAGCAGATGTCTATATATGCCGCAGTATGTGTTCCTGCTGCTCTCGACTGTTCCAGCGGCTTCTACTGCATCGTTTGACACGAAGGGCGTAACATGTCAAGTCGTGATGAAATGCGGTCCAAAAGGGCGCATCGTCAAGCATTCGAGTGGGTCCATTGATGGCTCGTGCACTTTCCCGCCAAATCCGCCATGTTGTCGTGAGGACAAGACACCTTCTTTTCAACAACGCCTCATGACCACGCAGCGTTGTGGCCGTACTGGATGAAGTTGTGAGAAGATTTTTGAGATGCAGGTTCGTTTCTATGAGATGGATTGCCGGGTAACCTTGGGACAGTGAACAATGCCAGCCTCGCTGTTCCGCTCTCACGACAAGAGCATGCATGTTTCAAAACAGGTACATTATTCATGATCCATCACTCGACTGCTGGTTAATTATAGATGGGTTGAATTTGATGGAGCATCGGCCGGAGAACTCGCCACTTGGTTTATCTGATCGCGACGAGCCTGTAGTTGTGACAGCGTTGGTAGGTCTACCGAGTTATCTCACTCTTCTCTCACATGCAGCCGCAGTCATCAGTTACCTTGGTTAGTATTTTCCTTGCCATGGTTGAAACAATGCATAATCTGCAACCATGAAGGACCCGTTGATACAAGCCCTTACTCATTTGATTTTATAACAGCCAGACCTTCCGACCATCGCCAACGTCAAGCTCCCCCTCCATCATCTCGTCGTCCTGCCCGCAAGCCCGTCGTAAACACCGCCAACTATCCGCATCAAGCTGACGGAAGAGCACGACGCCAACCCTTCTAAAGCGATCCTCCCCGGCCCTCTCGACGAGGAGTGCGCTTCCCGAGTAGTGCGTGCCGAATATGTCCTCCTCCTCGAGGTACCCCTCGTCGGGGACCCAGTCGCCCAGCTCGTCGCACACCTCCTTCGAGACCGCCAGCAAAAGGAGCTCGCACGGGGCGCTCTTCTCGCGGGGTCGGGAGTCCGGAAAGGCTTCCACGACGGCGTCGTCCTGCGTCACGCCCTCGACGGCCACCGTCCACTCCCCGTCCTCGGCAGCCGCCTGCTGGAGGGTGCCCTTGCAGATGTGCGCCCGAACGGCGATTTCGTTGCACAGAAGCTCCGACGGTATGTCTGCGTTGCGCCCCTTCTTCGCGACATCCTTGCTGCCGGGACCTGGGTTTCTAGACCCGGAGTCCTTGGGTTCGTCCCTTCCGATCCCCGTCTCGGTCTGTGCAGGCCCTTGGAAAGTGTCTTTGGCGTCCGGTCCTTTGATTTTGAGGCCCCCCTCTCTCCCCAGACCGGGCTGCTTATCCAGGTCCTCGTGGTCCTTCACGTCAGAAGACTCCTCCGGGATCGGAGCAAAGGCGATGGTGGCCTTCGCCGCGACCTTCCTGGACATCTTGGTCGACGTCTCCTCCAGCTTCCTCGCCATAATTACGAGCTCCTCCTTCCACGAGGCCGAGTGCTCCCCCTCGAACCGTCCAAAGATGGCGTTCTTCAGCAGGAACCTGAGAGCGCCCCCATCGTGCCCCGACGCGATATAAAACCGCGGCAGGTCCGGGACCGGCGGCGCAACCTCCACGGCGCCTTTCGCAGACGCCCACGACCAGGACGGGAACCCGCCGCCGGCGCTTCCTCCCTTCTCGCCCGCCTTCCGGCCATCTGCCACCCGCCACGCGAGCTGCTCGTGCAGCCCGTTCGTCCACAGGCCGGCGCCGTACTCCTCGCCCAGGGCGTCCCGCACGAGCTTCGCGACGCCCCACACGGCGGCCAGCCTGTCGCTGGGGAAGGTCAGGTCGCAGCCGGTGTAGGCGTGCACGGCGTCCGTCCAGAAGCCGCGGATCGAGTCCGCCGTCGAGCCGGCCAGGGACGGCACGGAGAGCGCGGCGTCCTGGAGCTGGCGGCGCCAGCTGCGGTGGGTGGCGGCGGCGGCGGCGTCGTCGAGGGCCGCAGGGAGGCCGTCGGGCAGGCTCTCGGACGCGCTCAGCGCCGCGCAGTCCCAGAACACCTGGCCCGCGCCGAAGTGGAGGAGGCGTGGGGAGAGGAGCCTTTCTACGAAAGGGGGGGGAAAGGGTCTGTGAGCGATGTTTCGCGCGGCCTATGTGACCGAGTGGGAGAGGGGGGGGTAGATCGACGTACCTTGGAAGACCCAGCCGCGGGTATAAAGATGGCGGCTCAGAAGGCCTCTGTCCCAGTGGTCGTGCTCCAACACCCTCCAGACCGCGTCGCCAAACACCCTCGACGGCGCGCGGCCGGCGTAGTAGACGGGCGCGAAACCGGGCCGCCGCGGCCGCGGCCGGAACAGGCCCTCGGTGTGGTTCCTGGAGTCGGCGGCGGCGATGTTGCAGAACGAGTTGCGGTAGACCTTGTGCATCAGCGGCGCCTCGGCCTTCCAGTCCTCGACGTGGGCGCCCTCGGACCCCTTGCCCTGGATGATGCAGAGCGAGTCAATCCAGACGTAGCGCTGGCCCAGCTGCCGGACGACGCGCAGCGCCTGCGCGAAGGTGGCGTTGCTGCTGATCCCGCGACTGCCGCCCTCGGCGTCGTCCTGCCACGGCACGCCGCGGGTCGTGAAGGCGGCGAGGTTGGCCTCGGTGAGCTGGACAAAGGCCCCGTCGCCCCAGCAGTGGCTCAGCGTGAGGTAGGGCGCGCGGATGGGGGTCTCGTTCGTGTCGACGACGCGGACGTGTGACGGCGGCCAGGCGGCGGCGGCGGCGTCGTCGTCGTCGTCGTCGTCGTCGTCGTCGTCGTCGTCGTCGTCGTCGTCGTCGTCGTCGTCGTCGTCGTCGTCGTCGTCGTCGTCGTCCCCGGGGGGCCCGACGTCCAGGACGCGCGTGGGCACGAAGTCGCGGCTGGCGTGGCGCCTGGTGCACTCGGGGTGGTGGTTGACGCAGTCGTCCATCCACGCCCTCATTTGCCTCAGCGTCTGGTCAGAGTCCGTGCCGGCGCCTAGATTTGTTTCATCAAGGTCCGTCTCGAAGTCTGGATCATGCTTATGATTAGCGCATTTGGGTGGCCACAGGAGACATATTCTTTTTTTTTTTTTAATAATTTTTCCCTCTCCTTTGTTTTTTGATGAACTGGGCCGGCCCCTCACCATCTTTGGGATACATGTGGAACTGCACATCTGGGAGATGTTCGCTCCTCTTGGCACCATCACTCCTGCCGGGCACCGGCCTGAACCTGACAGAGACGTGGCTCTGCGTGTCCCTGGTCCTGTACGCCTGACGGATGTTCCAGCGGTACACGGCGTTGATGTCGTGGTCGCTGTCAAACCAGGGGCTCAAGCTCCCGAGCTCCTCGGCAAGCCGCGTGCAGAAAAGGCACCCCGATCGCACCGAGGCCTCGAAGGAGGCTGCGTGCCGGTGGTGGTAGTCCCATCTCCGTTCGGACTCGAGCACAGTGGAGCGGCAGAACTCGCAGATCATCTCTGATGGGAGTTGTCGCGAGTGGCGGCTCACGGGAAGAGGTACACGAGGATTACCGTGTGTCTAAACCCGCGAGTGCGGGGGTGAAGCAGCACGGCGCGAGATTTTGAGTCGAAGCTGACGAGCAGGCAGACGTGGTGTTGAGGCAAGTAAGCAACGCAGGAGTGGGGTTACATAAAGAGTCTCTAGCAGGGGTTGTAATTGGATGGAGGACTACGGCAAGGGGGGGGAGGGGTTCGACACAGACTTTATTCTCGCGATGCCGCCTCTCTTGAACATTGTCACCTCCTCGGCATGCGGTAGCAATTATGATATTTCGGTAAGCTAACGATCGGTGGGATATGAACAGTGGGATTGTTGCCAACGACGGCCTCTGGACAAGACAAATCCGCTTGCTACGTAGTAAACCGAAAGTGACGTGCGGTAACATGCCGGGTCCTAATCATCCCATCGGTGCTGTCGCCTCGGCTGAAATCGATATCTGGTGAAGGCAATGTCTTCAGAAGCCCAGCGGGCCGATTGGTAGTCCCGTTGCGATAAGCAGAGAAAAAAAGAAAAAAGAAAAAAAAAAAAAAACATGCGTACGCGCGACTTTGCGGTCGGGTATGAAACCAATATCCAAAACAGGAGACGGTACGGTCTTATTCATCACATCTGCATATGTTTCCTGCGCGATGCTCTCCCAGTCAACTCAAATGGTGGGAAAGCGGTGCTATCCCTACTTCTCCATCATCGTCATCATCATCTCTCTCAGTCGGAGACCGGCCCGGATGAGGTCCAGAGGGTGACTGGACCAGGTCGCGGGGAGTTCCCGGACAACATGGGCCGGGTCTTCCTCTCGGCATCTGCTTGCACGCATTTTCATCATGCAGTGAGGGCCAGCATGGACAGAATGCACGCGGCGACGCCGAGTGATGCCGAGGCCGAGAAGGTGGACCCAGCGGAAGCGCCATTGGGCCCCGACGACGACTTGGTCTGGTTACAAGCGATGAAGCCGTTGCGGTCGGTGGCGCCGCTGTGCGTCATGGTGCCGACGTAGACACAGCTTCCGCGGTAGTTGGGGTCGAGGATGACGCGGTCGGGGCCGGGAGATCCTGAGGGCACGTGTTAGCAGGTGCGATCGTGTTGCAACGACGTGCACGAAGGAGGATCGGGAGCAAAAGACCTACGTCCGGTGTAGTTTCCAGAGGGGATGATGGGGAACTCCTGGTAGGGCCCGGCGGTGGCGAGGACGAGGTTCTCGCGGTTGTTGAAGCGGTGGGGGTACTCGCTGGTGCCGACCTGCTCGCCGGCGAAGTAGAGGCGGCAGCCCTCGGCGGTGGCCTCCTCGATCTGTTGCCGGGTGTAGCTGTTGTCGCCGCAGATGGCTTTGCTGATGGAGATGACGCCCTCGCGCTTCTCGAGCTCTTGGTCGGAGGCGAGGACGGAGTCGGCGACGGCGAAGACGGCGCAGAGGGAGAGGAGGAAGGCAGGCTTGAGGCAGACCATGATGGGCGACGGCGCTGTGCGTGTATGTGTGTGTGTGTGTGTGGGTGCGTGGGTGCGTGTAAGAGTGAGGTTCGTGAAGAGTCAGGAAATGAAGAGTGAGGTTTGTGAAGTTGGTGAAATGGACGAGCGAGACAGACTCGTCGTGGATGAGATGCCGGGATATGAAGGCGAGTCTCGTGCCGCGGCGAGGACGTTGACAAGCGTCCGAGAAGGTTTTGCCGATGGAACGGCTCCGTCAATGCCGCGATGGGAACAAATAGACGAAGGAGGAATATAAGAACAATCTGGAGGGGAAACAAGGGGGAAGAGGGCCGGGCCGCGATACCAAAGAACGACGAACTGGCCTTGTTTGTTTGACTGACGAAGAGGGTGGGGGGAGGTTTCGAGGACGGAATGAAACTTCGAGATAACTGCCCGGATTGGATGAATTGAGTAACTTTGCTCGGCACGGCGCCCAATTGCCGTCCGCCAAGTCGGGAGATGCTCCGTTCATCTCTACATTCAACAATACACACCAGATACAAGCCCGCTTCAGATCCAACATCTGTTATTCTTGTCTTTCAGGCGGCCAAGGCCTGATGCTCGCATGCGAAGCCATTCTGGGCTCGAGGAGCAATGCAATGCAACAAGACAGAGAGGGATGGATACCTAAGGCCTGATGATTTACGGTGCATGAACCTGAACCCGAACCACAACCTGAGTTACATTACCTACATCGTAGTTACTTATGTACGGTAGGTAACTAACCAAGGGACCAAAGGCGACACATGCTGGGGTGTCACGTGCACCAAGGTTCGCATTGAACCGTTGCTTGGCTAGGAATAATAAGCTTGCTTACGGATATTTGCAAAGGAAAGAAGCGATGCGATGCTTTGCATTTTGGATTTGCAGAGGCCGCCGACCCCCACTCTTTCTCGTAACTGCGTGTGCTCTTATTGGCCCTTGGCCCTTGGCCCCTTTCTTGCAGCGCTTCTTTCCTGGGGAGTTCTGGACGAGCAGAACGGCAGGAGCCAATCGACTGAAGGCAAGCACTAGTGTCCCATAGCGAGGACGGAAGGAAGAGGCGCAACGGAAGAACTAAGCTGCCAAACGTCGATTGGTGGGTAGTAAGTAGTACAGGTACGGGTTCAAACACGTTCCTTCCTTATGTACAATGAACGACCTTGAGTGGGTCCGCCTTGGATACGTACCTTGGTGATTACCTTCCTTGGTACTAGTAAATGCCTTCCTTCCTTCCTACCTGGTCAGACACTACTTGTCTTGGGAAACTTCCACCAACGCCGCAGACTCAGCCTCAGCCATACCCGTCGACCTGAACGACAGGCGCGACGGGGTTTGCGTGTTTGTCGTTCCTGCTTTTGCTGTCTGCACCTCCCCGCTGCCTCCTCCCCCACCCCCACCCGCGCGGAGTCGACGCCACACAGTGCGTCGTCGCCAAACACGGCTCTCGACGCTGGCGACGTCAGTGAAGCAGCGCTGCCTCCCTCGTCCAAAGTTTCCATCTTCCGTTTGCGACATCGCCATAAAGCCGCCATCGACACTACTAGCACCGGTGCCGCCGTCAGTCTGTCACATCTGTCGCCTTCACCTTCACCGTTCCAGTCATCCTTCATCTCAACTTCTTCTAACCATCCCGCGCATTCTCTCTCCTCATTACCCCCCCACCACTCAAGATACCCCCAGAATGAGCGTAGATGCTACCATCGCGGCGCTGCCCGCCTACAAGACTCTCGACGCCTTCGTCAAGTCCGGTGCTACCGACGGAAAGGCCCTCGACGACACGGTCCAGGAATTTAACACCCTTGCAAAGAGTTCCCAGTCCGACATTGAGGACTTCCTCTGGGACACGTATAATGCCGTCTTTGCTGTCGCCAAGCAAACCTCTCCCGAGAAGCAGGGTCCCCTGGTCCATTTTCTGCAACGCCTGCGCAACACCACGGTCACCGCCTCGGACGGCCAGCCTCTCAAGCTGAGCAACCAGGTTGTCTGGAAGGATCTTACCACCTTTGGCTGGGTCGCCCGTGACTTGTGGAACTTTGGTACGTTGCTCATTTAACACTTTTCTCTCAAGATACTCCATTACACGACATTAATGCTTGGCACTCGTCTTGAATAACCAAAGGCACTAACCATCTGCTAGACGCTCTTGACACATCCGCATCCAAGGACGAAAAGACAGCCTGGGACAACCTCTCCGCCCTCGCCGCCCAACTGACGGCTCGCGCCGACCTCAACAACCCCCAGGACCCCTTTGACTTCTCCCTCTACGGCCTCTGGGCCCTGCGCACCGCCTTTGAGGAAGAACACCCCGCCGGCGCAGATGTCGCTGCCGCTGTGAGGCAAGCCTACCTCTGGATCACCTACTCCGGTGATGCCCTGCAGAATTTGAGCGCCAAAAACCGCAACTTCGAAGCCAAGTCGGGCAAGGCCGGCGCCAAGTTCGGCGACCGCGAATGGAAGGGCTTGAACGAGGAGAGGTGGAGCGCATGGGCCGAGGCGTTCGCATCGGCGCACGCCTCGCTGGGGGACGAAGAAGTCAAGGGTCTTGCCGCGAAGGCGGCCGAGCGTATGAAGAGCAAATGAGCGGCTGAGACCACTGGGGACTCTGAAAGAAAATCAAATAACTGGAAATACAACCAACCAAGCTACGAAAATAATGAGACAATACCCGCATATAATGACTCCATTTATGTCTCCCCCCCCGCGAATCGGCGATATGCTCACAACAGAGTAATAGGAATGTTCCGAGAATCTTCCTACCGTCGCCAGCCGGATTATACATAAAGCACCAGCCGTGCTCATCCTTCTTGAAGCTTCCACATGGAAGCAAAGAGACCCCCCTTCTCGAGCAATGCCTTGGGATGGTCAAACTCGGCAACTCGTCCGTCCTGAAGCGTCACAATCTTATCAAAGTCTGCGACTGTCTTTAGGCGATGGGCAATGACCACGACGGTCCACCTTCGGAACTCGCTTCTGATGAGGTCTTGGACAATTCGCTCCGTTGCTTGGTCGAGACTATTGGCATGTTAGCATGCATTATCGCCCACTAACCAAGCTTCTGAGAAAATTTCACCTGCTGGTCGCTTCGTCGAGCAGGAGAACACGGCTGTCCCTCAGCATGGCCCTCGCAATGCAAAACAACTGCTTCTGTCCCGCGCTGAGCCAGTCCATGTTCAGGTCCGCTTCCAACCCTCCCTTATCCTCAAAGAGGCTCTCGAGCCCCGTCTTCTCCAGCGCGCCCCAGACGGCAGCGTCGTCGCGGGCACCGAATGGGTCGAGATTTCGGCGCACCGTTCCGGGCAGGAAGAGCGGGTCTTGAGGGAGAGCCACGAGGGACTCGCGGAGCTGTTTGACGGGCACGCTCGCGATGTCCACGCCGTCCATCTCGATCGCTCCCGTGGACGGCTCGTGCAGCCGGAGGAGAAGCGCCAGCAGAGTGGACTTGCCGCTGCCTGTGCGGCCGCAGACGGCCACCTTCTCGCCCGGCTTGATCGAGAGGTCGATGCCGCTGA